CGTTAGCTTATACTCAACTTTGAAGAACCGAGTTACAGGAACTTGGATTTAGGTACAAATTAGGCTTAGTTAATGTTTAGACAAGAAGCAAGTTTAACTCACGTTCAGGAATGAAGAAAGCTTATCTCACTTTGAGGAACCGAGTTACAGGAACTTGTGTTTATGTGCAAATTAGGCTTAGTTAATGTTTTGACAAGAAGCAAGTTTAACTCACGTTCAGGAATGAAGAAAGCTTATCTCATTTTGAGGAACCGAGTTACAGGAACTTGTGTTTAGGTGCAAATTAGGCTTAGTTAATGTTTAGTCAAGAAGCAAGTTTAACTGACGTTCAGGAATGAAGAAAGCTAATTTCAATTTCAGGCGCTGAGTTACCCGAACTCATGTCCAGGCGCGAATTAGGCTTAGTTAACGTTTATACAAGAGGTAAGCTTAATTTATGTCAAGGTGCTGAACTATTTCAAATCACGTGAGACGAAGGAAGCTTTTAACTTGGTTTATCAAAACAGAAGTATGTTCATATCGATTTTTTCTATAAAGTTGTTTGCCAAGTTTTTGGATTTATCGACAGCCGGTTAGATTTCTAAGACAAATTAAAAATAAGCTCGAAATTCAAACTTATTTATTCAATAAAAGAAACTGACATCGACCTTTGAAGAACTGATCATCTGTACTTCACACTGCATAACCTCTGTGTTTGCTTAAGAGAATGCTTCTTCGCTCAAGTATTTGTTCATGCTACAGCTTTAATTGACTACATTATTGTTAATTTCATTTCCTCGTGACATAGGTATCTATCGAAGATTTGTGATATTGAGAAAGTAATTACATTACGCTGATGTGTTCTTAATTATATTAGTCTGATACGTTCGCTTACTTTTGTTATAGGCTTTTTTTTTTGCAATTCTCAGAACGTCTAATTACACTTTGGGGAGTTCGTAATAACTAAATCTACTTGTTTCATCTCCCACAAATCCTTAGTTAACTGTACGAAGTTCAGATACTGTATACTACAGTGAACTTACAGCACTATGATATCAAACCTCTGTTAGGTGCAATGAAATATACTCGTTCGTTAAACCAAAGTTATGATACCATAGTTGAATAAACGTTCATTTAGCTCACTGTCGTCTCCCGGTGAGACACCGGTATGTTTACGGACTTACAACTCTAAAATCTGAGGTTCGATTCCTCGCGGTGAACACAGCAGATAGTGCAATGTGGCTTTGCTCTGAAACAAACAAACGTGTTCAAATAAACCATTCGAGACTAAGAACACAGGAATTATTCTCTACGAGACCTGCCATCTAGCGACAGCCAAGGATTATTTATAACTCTGTTGCTAGACAGAGAATTATTCAACAATTTTAGAACTAAATACGCCCCCCCCCCAGATAGCCCATTGTGTAGCTTTGTACTTAACTTCAAACAAACAAACAAACAAGAACTAAATATACAAAACACTCAACTGCTCATAACCTCGGTACATTTTATTTGGGACCACCATAAGAGGATTCAATATGACGTGTAGCGACTATCTTGGAGAAGAGTAAAAGCTTTTAGAGTGAGAAGCGTAATGAAACATTGTAATAAAACGCAAATCACTCTCGAGCGTCACAGTACGAAATTTGTTTTTAAAAAGTGCAGTACACGTATGAAGTCTTTTGACAATAATGTATAATACTTATTTTTGTAGTTTAATGTTTCATCACACTGTCAGCACTGTTGACTGTTGAGAATCATGCTTCGTTTGTTTTACTCTATAGTCCAAGTAACTTAATGTCCCATACAATGCTCACATAAATAGTATTTAGTTTGATGCCTAGTGTTGTCACATATCCTCTCCAAGTCCTAGTCGGTAAAGTAAAACAAACGAGATGCTCTTGAAACGACATTAATGCGCTCAAATAGCTTATGAAACATATTTCGCGTGTTACACGCGAAACAACGTTGAAAGTTAGTCGCAGTTTAGCCTAAAAATGATAATATCAAAGAGTGGCATTTAAATTTTCAACAAAGCTGGTTCTTGGTCAACAGAAATTTACTTTTACAAACTACTTATAAGCAGTGTTATTTACTAGAATTGTGTTCCAGTTTTACTAAAACTTTAGTTTGTTTTGAATTTCGCGCAAAGTTACTCGAGGGCTTATATGCGCTAGCCGTCCCCAATTTAGCAGTGATAGGCTAGAAGGAAGGCACCTAGTCAATACCACCCACCGTCAACTGTTAGGCTACTCTTTAACCAACGAATAGTTGGACTGACCGCCATATTTTAACGACTCCACGGCTGAAATGGCGAACGTGTTCTGTGACGGAGATTCGAACCCACGACCCGCAGATTGCGAGTCGAGCACCTTAAAATTCTGGTTTGTGTGTTTGTGGTTAAGCGCAAAGCTACGAAAGGGCTATCTCTGCTATGCCCACCACGAGTATCGAAATTCGGTTTTTAGACACTAGGAGGGGGGGGGGGCAATTCCGGGGTTGAAAGGTCAAATTGTATTTTTTTTTCTTCTTCTGAATATTCAAACTGAAATCACGTTAAGGAAGAACTGTCATTGGTTAATTAGGTCTATAATCCATTTCAAACGCGTTTTCTCTAGGAAAGTGAAATAACATGTATGTATGTGCGTGTGATCAGAACCACACTTGAATACCTAATCGTATAAATTTCAGATGGGTGGTATCGTTGTATTCCTTATAACTAATCTCGGGCCCCTCAGTGGCACAGCGGTTTGACTGCGGACTTACAACGCTAGAAACCGGGTTTCGATACCCGTGGTGGGCAGAGCACAGACAGCCAATTGTGTAGCTTTGTGCTTAATTACAAACTAACTAACTAGCTTGGGCTGTACTTAGATAAAATGTTAGTCCACAATTTGCCAAGTTATCATTTTTGTTATCTGAAGTGTACTGCAGTAACCAGTTAAACCTATTTTCCACGTTGCACTCTCTACATGAGAACTATCTGCGCTAGCCGTCCCCAATTTAGCAGTGTAAGACTAGAGGGAAGGCAGCTAGTCACCACCACCCACCGCCAACTCTTGGGCTACTCTTTTACCAACGAATAGTGGGATTGACCGTCACATAATAACGACCCCACGGCTGAAAGAGTGAGCATGTTTGGTGGGAGGGGGATTCGAACCTGCGACCCTCAGATTGCGAGTCATGCCAGGCCACGCAGAAAGTGATAACCAGGGTAAGCAGGAATAATATAACCGAATTTTTTTGAAAATGTGTCTTACGTTAATGCGATGGCCAGACACTCGAAGACAGTTTTCTTTCAAAACACAGTAAATCAAAGATACTTGAATGAATGTATTTCTTGAAAATCGTCAGTCTATTCAAATTACTTAGGAAAAGAAGACTAACGACATTCATTATCCACTAATGTTATGTTTGCATGAAAATAATTGTATTTTTTTAAATTAATTAGTATAATCTTAACTAACAAAATATTGTTTAAATATCAGAGACCCACAAAATATTTGCGGTCAAATTGGTATATTTATTGCAACAGTACTTCTATAAATACAGGATTTCTAAAATAATACAAAAGAATTCTAATCAAAGACACGAAAATCTACAAGTCCACTTGTATTAGGCCTAAGATTAGTTAAGCCTTTATTAAGCACGGCCTATATTCGATAAAGAGATAAATTAACACTGTAACCAGTATACGTTTTTCACTTTAGTTCAGTTAGGGCTAAACCTTACCGTACTTAATACTATCAATAGATAAACTTATTCTAAGACCTAACGTTAGACGTTTTTAAAAACTCTGATAAATTTCTAATATGTTGTTGTACAAAATGTCTACTAAAATATACTTACATCCGCATTTTGTTTACATCCGCAGAAAGGAAGTGCGAACGCATTTCCGGGACAGACAAAAACTGAGTATTATTATAATAAATGTTTTGTAAATTAAGCCGAGTTGAACGTTTGTAAATCTTATTCAAACTTCTTTTAACAATAATAACTTTTTACTAGCTACTGAAAAACGCTATGTTACTATCGCCAGTGCTCTATCTCAGTTTTTGTTACTCCATTTTCATTAAACGAAAACCTGATACAGTATAAATGACAGATCGTTTCGTTCTAAGTATATAACAAAAAATATTCCCTGGTTCGTAAAAAATAAATCACTCCAATCACTATTTTACCAAATTTTAAAATATTACTCCAAATAATTGTTTTCTTTCCCAAACATCTCTTCATTTTATTATGACCTACACGTTCTCTAAGAATATTTACTATTTATGGTGTACTTGGTTACCTGATACTAATGAATAAGAAAGTTGTCCATTTCGACCTTTGTCTCTGTCGAACGCCAACACCCGAACAACAGATGTCCCAATTGCTGCAGTCTCAAACACTTGCCCTTGGAACAAAGGTTGTAAAAACTCGGGGGTATGGTCGTTGTGATCTTCTACATCAATGATTACTCTAGCAAAGTCTCTTTTTGCAGGAGTTCCGTTATCTGTCACGAGGACCGTAAGGCGATGCTGGTGGGCGAGTTCGTGGTCAAGCTCCTCTTTAACAGACAACACACCGGTGACTTCGTCCACGTGGAACATTGGAAGACTGGAAATAGCCGCGCTGTCAGAAGGAAAAAGGGGGCAGACACTAATGTAAATAATTCCAATATTTAACTGAACTATGCAACATTATCATTATTTGTATATATTTTTTTCCTAGCCACACAGTTTGGCCTCAAATTTTGGTGGTGGAAACAGACTTCAACGTGTTTCGACAACGTATACTTCTTGTCAAATAACTAGTCAGCAGAAGACCGATGTTTTTTTTTTTTTTAGCTTGTTGTTATTTTATTTTGCTTGAATTAAATGAACAAGACGAATGATATATATTTTAAGCATTTTATTCGAAATTAACCAATGTTAGTTTTAATCATAAAATCTTATTGTTATCAAGTACAATTGCATATGAGAATGTTATCCTTTCATTACTCTGATATTTCAATACTTAATTTGTTATTCAGCTGAGTTTAGGTGCTAGATTACCGCATTCTTATTTATTTTAATGTGGTATATAGAAATAAATATTATACAGATTGGATCGGCTATTTCCACCATGATAAGTTATCCACATTTGGCACACCACGGCTGACATATGTAGCTCCAATTATTTGGCTCACGGCAAATTTCCGAGCAGTGGACGTGCAATACTGCCATAGTAAGATTTATGGCTGGATAAAATGCTACAATCTTTTAAAGGTTTCTGTTGTTATTTTATGCCAAGCTACACAATTGGCTATCTCCGCTCTGTTCACTTAGGGGAATCGAACAATGGATTTTAACTTTGCAAGTCCCTAATATTACTGCTCACCCACAAGGGGACAGGATCCCTTTCAAGGAAAGATATTCGTATGGCCTGATTGTTAAATAATCAAGTAACACAACAATTTGAAGACTGAATCGTTCATTGTTATCCAAGGACGCTGAAAAGCTTGCACTGTAGAGTGCTTGGAATAGCAATGGTCTTTGGAAGCAATGCCCTCGTTAGCAAAGCGAAGACTGTGCCCAGGAAATAGTTCCTTCTCAAGCAACGAACATGAGTGTGTATATATAAGCATATAAGTTTCAAACCGTATCTTGAAATCAACATATATTTTCATGTGAACGATGGCTGAAGAATCTATTGTCAAAGTAATCCTATTCAATTACATACCGGCCAAGACCCTCAATGCAGCTCGAGTGGACTTTTGAGCCTTTGAACTGCATGAACATGATTTTGAAAGACAATGTCCATCTATAGTGGAGGGTCAGAGAAAAGTTTCCAAGGTGTGCTGGAGGGCCATCTATCGTCGGTCGTATTACTTTTGATGGCCTTATTACGTAACCGCAATAACACGCTTCTGCGAAAGATGGTAAAATCAATCTGAGACCACACATCTTCAAATCTTTCCTTTGACCCTCCACCAAACCTAGAAAACTTTCCTCTCACCCTCCACAACACCTGAAAACTTTCCTCTGACCATCCACCACACCTTGGAAACTTTCCTCTGACCCTCCACCACACCTTGGAAACTTTCCTCTGACCTCCACCACACCTTGGAAACGTTCCTTTGACCCTCCACCACACTTGAAAACTTTCCTCTGACCCTCCACCACACTTGGAAACTTTCCTCTGACCCTCCACCACACCTTGAAAACTTTCCTCTGACCCTCCACCACACCTAGAAAACTTTCCTCTGATCCTCCACCACACCTAGAAAACTTTCCTCTGATTTTCAGATCTTTGTTGCCCTTGCAAATCTGTTCAGATCTTTGTTGCCCTTGCATATCTGTGCGATGAAAATTCATGGTATATAAATAGGCTTCAATTTTTTAAAATATTTTATTATCTTATCATAAATAAGTCATGATCGTATTTTTGGGAATTCATTTGAGTTCTCGGTACATTCGTTATCCTGGCATGTTACGACAACAGAAGGAAAAATACAAACATCACGCATAAAGTACAACACGATGAAATATTAATTCCGCAAATAGAAATGTCCACGCTCCGTGGAATGCTTAGTAATAACGGTTCATCCGAGTCCTTACACACACACACTCCATCTCTCTCCCATTGTTTTAAATGAGGTAATGACATACACTTTAATTAAGTTCTTATTAAGTTTTTAAAGCACACGGCTTCCTATCAACGGCATAGCATGTTCTACACTTGTTTATTGTTCAAGCCAACATCAAACGCTTAATTAGATATTCACTAATACGAGTGAAAGAAGATCAGATGATTTGTTTGCTAACACTGTAGCATACCTGTACGTCGTATACGGACAGAGCGTAGCCCAGTGGTTAGCAAGCTAGTTTCCGAGGCTAGCGTCTGGTTACTGCATGTAAGAGAAACAAAATATCGCGCTCCACACTTTGGGGCTGTGGGTGCGTTATAATCCCCCCCCTTACTATGTGGTCTCACAATTAGTTATTGGGTAAGTCTGAAGGCTTATTAGGCTAAAAAACCGAGTTTCGATACCCGTGGTGGGCACCGCACAGATAGCCCATTGTGTAGCGTTCTGATTAACAAAAAATAACAACAACAACTACGAGCACTAAAGATACGTATAGATGAATAAACCGTGATGTATTAAATAATCTTATTAGTAGAAACGACGCCCCCCCACCCCCAGTGGCACAGCGGTATGTCTGCGGACTTACAACGCTAGAAACCGGGTTTAGATACCCGTGGTGGGCAGAGCGCAGATAGCCCTTGTGTAGCTTTGTGCATAATTAAAAACAAACAAACAAGAAACAACAGTGGCTGTTTGTGCTAGTAATTATTAATCGTAGTATTCATACTTCATTGATAAATATTAAGAAAAAGTGAATATTTTATAAAAAAATATATTTTTTTTTCTGGGAGGTACTGCACGGGAAAAGTGTCAGGATTGTTCTCGTCCTTTTTAGTCATACACAACTCAATGTACAGTGGCGCAGCGGTATGTCTGCGGACTTATACTGCGAGAAACCTGGTTTCGATACCCGTGGTGGGCAGAGCACAGATAGCCCTTTGTGTAGCTTTGTGCTTAATAACAAATAACAACAACAACAGTACTACATTTAAGAATTACATCAATAAAGATATAATCAAACCCTCACGTACAGTCCAAGTGGAAGTCGCGTTCTTCTTGTGAGGAGAGTACTTTTATTTAAAATTGTATTCTCTTATAAAGAAATGATTGTTACACATACCATAGTTATTTATCTAATTGTCCGAATCTTGAATACCTAAAATGTGAAATTTTTTATGGATTTTTGTTTGTGGTGCCATTCAATAGATGGCGCAGGAGTTTTGGTTGCATACATAGATACTGACGTACACGCTACGTCCACTATAGTAAGATGGTATTTTTCCTAAATCTATTTAACCCTAATAGAAGAATGAAAGAGTATTCGCGATAAAAATGCTTTCCGATAGGAGATTGTTTGTTTGTTTGTTTTTTTATTTATGCACAAAGCTACACAAGGGCTATCTGTGCTCTGCCCACCACGAGTATCGAAACCCGGTTTCTAGCGTCGTAAATCCGCAGACATACCGCTGTGCTACTGGGGGGCTCCGATAGGAGATCTTATATGTCTGACTGTTGAAAAAGGTCTTTTCTACTAATGAAGCAACACATAAGTGATAATTTATCACCGCTACCGAGAACTGAGCGGTTCTAATGAACAATTAATGACTAAAGTGATGTCGGAAAGTAATCAAAAATACGTCATATTATTAACTTCTTGACGATTACAGAAACGAAGCACGTGTAAAATGGAATGTCGTGGTTTGTAAAACTATGACTATCATTATTTACTGTTAGTCTTTTAATAATGTACCTATGTATAAATGCAACTTAACATAGGACGATAATAGGAAAGGAATCAGTTTAATACATATATACAAAGAGATTTTGTTTAAGTTGATAAAGATACGCTGTAACTATAGCTACCATTAATACATACATTCATAACAATATAGGCAACGCCTTGTACGTTATAATGTCGCTCAACACTTGGAGATTTGTGAACATATAGCAGAATTATAAAATCCTGGTGTGTATCATGCTGGCACCGAGTGTCTCGTACAGATAGCTCGTGATGATGACGTACAGATAGCTCGTGATGATGACTTAAGGCAATGTGGCGGCTCTTGTAAATCGCAGATAGCATAAAATCGTTAAGAAACAGCCATAAATGAAAACTTTCTGGTTTGAATTTGACGCTAAGAATCTTTATATATATATCATCAAAACGCAATAAAACTATGTATCAGAACCAGAGTCATTTATCCAAAGTTGCGATATGTGTAAGACTTAGATTTAGTGACACTAAAACAAAGATGAGGGGTGTGGATACAGTTTTCATATCTTCAGAGTTTACTCCTCCACATAAAGTACTATTTAATCTTTATAATGCAGGATGTCTCGAAAGTAGTTTAACTCATGGTTTATAATGTTTATTAAATGTTTCTTACCTGTTGTACAGTGAATAAAACAGTCTCTTGTCTTGGTCCAAGTCTGAAGCTGTTAACTGGATTACCTTAGTTCGAACCGCGACGTTTTCGGGCACCGATGTCCGATAGGTAGACTGACTAAAACGTGGTGGATTATCATTGTAGTCCTGGACTTCTACGTGGACCTATTAATATATAACACTGGATTATCGTTGTAGTTCTGGACTTTATATTCTGGTTTATAAATACTCATCCTTAAATTATTGTTGTTGTCCTGGACTTTACATAGCCTCTAAATACACGTCATTAGGCTATTGATTTAGTCCTGGACTTTACATAGCCTATAAATACACGCCATTAGGTTATTGATTTAGTCCTGGACTTTACATAGCCTATAAATACACACCATTAGGTTACTGATTTAGTCCTGGACTTTACATAGCCTATAAATACACGCCATTAGGTTATTGATTTAGTCCTGGACTTTACATGGATCTATAAAAACAATTCAGTCATTTCGTTAATTAGTTCCAGTTAGAACTAATATCAGTACATAGAAAAGCAGCCCAAATGGTGAGATTACAATATTATTAACATTTTAAATTTAATCCGTATTAGTAATTATTATTTCTGATTCACGGTGACCAGTAACATCATTTGGAAACAGCGTATTTCTAGCTTGACTGTCATTTTACATTTTTCTGGCTGGAGTACACAGTTATATCACTTTATATTATAGTATTTATGAGACCTTTCTTCCGTCCAACTTCCAGCCGATAATATATTTCAAACGCGGAATCTATGGTGATTGGCTGTAAACGTGGTATTTGAACGTAGGGATCACCATTTAATCATATTTTGTTAAACTGTACCATAAAATAACTCTGGAGATTAATGTTCCGGGCTACGAATTAGAAGTCCATAGTTCGTGCTTGGGATATGCCATTGAATGAATTTTCAGCTATGGCCGCGTTACACAATTGACAGTCAGTCCTTGTATTCTTTTAAGAGTAGCCGTGCAGCTGGCTGGTTGCCACTTCTGAAATCAGCAGCTTAAATTAGGGATGGCTATGTCCTTGAATTTTATATGTGGCTATTTAGCCCACGTGTAAGTTAAATAAGGTGAGGTTCAGGTTGAAACTACGAATCAACATAAATGTTAATGTCCATCAGCAACCGAGTTCCATTCACTCTATAAGACAAACGGTATTAATACGTCTACAAACAACATAAATGTTAATGTCCATCAGCAACCGAGTTCCATTCACTCTATAAGACAAACGGTATTAATACGTCTACAAACAACATAAATGTTAATGTCCATTAGCAACCGAGTTCCATTCACTCTATAAGACAAACGGTATTAATACGTCTACAAACAACATAAATGTTAATGTCCATCAGCAACCGAGTTCCATTCACTCTATAAGACAAACGGTATTAATACGTCAACAAACAACATAAATGTTAATGTCCATCAGCAACCGAGTTCCATTCACTCTATAAGACAAACGGTATTAATACGTCAACAAACAACATAAATGTTAATGTCCATCAGCAACCGCGTTCCATTCACTCTGTAAGACAAACGTATTTATACGT